CTTCACTGTCAAGAGGCCTTGCTACACACGGTTTCATAGCTTTCTCCTTTTTTCCCTCAAAATATTGTATCTTGTAATCCCGTGACCAAAATCTTCAGAGACCCACTTGCATGTTTCAAACTGAGTATGTATCCTTCAGCCTGGTATTTAGGACCCTCTATAATTGGCTATCTCTGTATAACCTCTCATGAGTTATTTTATTCTCTACCCTCAAGTCAAACTCATCAATTTGCTTTTTTTTTTCCTTGAAAATGTGCTACATTTTCTCAACTTTTCACATTTTCTCTTGCTGTTCTACTCACCAGTAATACTTTTTTTTCATTTTCATCTGTAAAAATTCAAGCCATCTTCAAGATGCATCTAGATGCCAAGTTCTTGGTTAAGCCCTCCCTGTTCTCATTTGGATGTCACATCCCTTTCCCCCCTGAATTATGCATTCGGCTTATGCCTTTACGAGGTCTTATATTAAGACCTACCTTATATTCAAGCTATTTTATATTTTTCCTGAATTCTGTTCTTGAGGACAGAAGGGTATCTGAATCCAAGTTTTGTCTTGTTTTGAGAGTGTAGTTTTATTTTTTCATACAATGTCTAAAACAAAGTTTGACTCACAGTGAGTGATTGACAAATATTTGTTCAGGCTGGCCTGGGCAACACAGTGAAACCCTGTCTCAAAAAAAAAAAAAAAAAAATTAGTCTGGCATTGTGGTGCACACCTGCAACATCTGCAGTCCCAGTTATTCGGGAGATTGAGGTGGGAGAATCTCTTCAGCGTGGGAGGCAGAGGTTGCAGTGAGCCGTGATCGTGCCTTTGGACTAGGTGACAGAGTGAGACCCTGTCTCAAAACAAAAATAAAAACATACAAAAAAAAAAGAAAAATATTTTTTGCATTATTTTTTGATAATGTGGGGTGAGTATAAAGATTGATTTTCAACACAGCACAGGCCTGGAAACCATATTATAAAATAGATTGTTATAAAGTAGCTTATGTTTTTTGTATTGGAATGATAAAATTCTCAGGGGCTTGATATGTGCCTGATCATCAATTTTGGCATAGTATTACCAACAACATGTTTTAAAAAGCAAGACTTGGCCGGGCATGGTGGCTCACGCCTGTAATCACAGCACTTTGGGAGGCCGAGCGGGGGAGCCGATCACCTGAGGTCAGGAGTTCGAGACCAACCTGGCCAACCTAGCAAAACCCCGTCTCTACTAAAAATACAAAAATTAGCTGGGCATGGTGGCATGCACCTGTAATCTCAGCTACTCAGGAGGCTGAGGCAAGAGAATCACTTGAACCCGAGAGGCAGAAGTTGCAGTGAGCCGAGATCACACCATTGCGTGATCACGCCCATCCAGTCTGGGTGACAAGAGCGAAACTCCGTCTCAAAAAAAAAAAAAAAAAAAAAAAAGGCAAGTCTTTAAATTCAATAACTCTCAATAGTCATTTTCTCAGACTGTGAGTATAGTGTTGATTATATAGTATTTTGAAAGTGGGCAGAATCACACAGAATCACCTTTTCCAAACTTCCTCAGTTTATGAGATGACAAAGAGGTTAAGTGACTGCTCAAGGTTGTACAGCAGATTAGTGGCAGAACAGTGATTAAGACCCAAGTTTTCTAATCTCAGTTAAATACCTTTTTCAGGACTTTGTTGTATCTTTTTAATAAAATTCACAATATGAGTTTAAAGGTACTTTACCTATTCATTATACCAGGGTCTATGACAATTTTCTTCGAGTGTAAATATAGTTCATAAAATATTCCTATTAACCTATTCCTATGGTCTCTGAATGTGTCTCCTCAGAATTCAGATGTTGAAACGTAATTACCAAAGTGCTGGTATTAGGAGGTGAAGCTTTTTAGAGGTGATTGGATGAGTGCCCTTGTCAAAGAGACCCCAGAAACCTGCCTTGCCTCCTCCACCATATAAAACAGTGAGAAACTGGAAGAGGGCATTTACCAGAACCCAGCCATGCTGGAACCATGATCTTGGACTTCCCAGCCTCCAGTACTATGAGAAATAAACTTCTGTTGTTTATGAGCCATCCAGTTGATGATATTTGTTATAGCAGTATGAATGGACTAAGACACTTAAGTTGTATTTTTCTTATCTAAATGTTATTTTATTTTAATACAGTTGTGTATTGCTTAAAAATGGGAATGCATTCTGAGAGATGCTCTAAGTGAATTTATCATTGCATGAACATCATGGAGTGTATGTACACAAACCTAAATGGTATATATAGCCTATGACATACCTAGGCTATATGGTATAGTCTATTGCTCTTTGGCTACATACCTGTAAAGCATATTACTGTACTGAATGCTTTAGGCAATTACAACCATTGTGTAAGTAAACATAAAAAAGGTACAGTAAAAATATGGTATAAAAAGTAAAAATGGTACACCTGTATAGGGCATTCACTGTGAATGGAGCTTGTAGGACTGGGAATTGTTCTGAGTGAGACAGTGAGACAGTGGTGAATGAATGTGAGGCCCGAGGACTTTATAAACACTGTACGCTTTGGCTACACTTGATGTATAAAACATATTTTTCTTTCTTCAGAATGAACTAACCTTTGCTTACTGTAACGTTTTTTAACTTTATATGCTTTTAAATTTTTTTAAATTTATGGTCTCTTTTGTAATAACACTTAGCTTAAAACACAAATTGTACAGCTGTGAAAATATTTTTTCTTTATATTCTTATTCCATATGTTTTTTTCTATTAACATTTTTAAATTTTTACTTTCTAAACTTTTTTGTTAAAAATGAAGACAAAAACACACACATTAGCCTAGGCCTGGACCCAAAGCGCTCCATGGCCTCTATAATATTCATGCCATCTTTCACCTTGCTAAAGACCACATGCTTGCCATCCAACCACTCTTGGCAGTGCAGATGAAGAACTGGGAACTGTTTGTGTTGGGTACAGCATTTGCCATGGACAAGATGCCAGGACCTGTATACTTTAGGATGAAGTTCTTGTCATCAACTTTCTCTCTGTCAACGGACTTGCTACCAGTGCCATTATGGCGTGTGACATCACCACCCTGACACATAAACCCTGGAATAATTCTGGGAAAGCAGGGACCCTTATAACCAAATCCTTTCTCTCCAGTGCTCAGAGGACGAAAGTTTTCTTTGTCTTCAGAACCTTGTCTGCAAACAGCTGGAAGGAGACGCGGCCCAAGGGCTCGCTGTCCACAGCGCTGTGGAAGAACATGGTGGGGGTTGACCATGGTTGATAGTATGGGGCTCCTGGCGGCGGCGGCAGCATCTGCAAAGTGTGATTTCCCAGATTTTCTATAGTAAACTATGCATTAAACTCATTCCACTGAACAATCTTTAAAAAAATGCAACTATGGAGAACGGAACTATCATGAATCTAGGCCTCCCGAAATCTAGGCATCTTGCCCTCTCTTTTTTTCTTGAAGACTTGGTGTAGAAACAGGGAAGAGTGATAATATTTGTAGTTTCTATTTGTTGTAACAAGACATCGTTGGACTCTCAGTGGCTAAGTGCAATGTAGGCTTTTTTTCTCGCTCATGTCACAGTTTACAGCAGGTCAGGAAGCTTTTCTGGTCAACTCTCTTCTCAGTGGTGCTTTAGGCATCTGAGCTGTTTCCTCAGTGTGATTCTGCCATCTTGGAGTTCTTATGTCCGGCACCATAGACAGCGAAAAGAGAAAAGAGACAGTGACAGAGAAAGAAGAGGAAGAGAGATTGACAGACAGATTTGAAAGAGAGGTTGACAGAGACAGAGGTGGGAGAGGGAGAGACTGAAACAGAGAGAGAGAGAGAGAGAGAATGAGAGATTGTGTGAGAACTTTTTGTACGATTAGATTTAGAAGTGATATACGTCTTTCTATTTTGTTTTTATTTACATTCCTTAGTCCAGAGCTAGTCACATGAGCCTACCTGTGTGTCCAGAAGGAAAATGCAAATAATTTGATGCATACAAAATATTGTTCTTGCCATAGCATATAGATAGATAGAGATAGATACATAGATACACAGCAATATACAGAGATAAAGAGATACAGGCTTTAAAAATAATTGCAGATTATTTATTTATTTAATTAAGTTTTACTCTTTCCTATTGCCTCATTGATATGGTTCGGCTCTGTGTCCCCACCCAAATCTCATATCGAATTGTAATTCCCAGTGGTGGAGGAGAGGCCTGGTGGGAGGTGACTGGATCATGGGGACGGATTTCCCCCTTGCTGTTCTTGTGATAGTGAGTGAGTTCTCAAGGGATCTGGTTGTTTGAAAGTGTGCGGCCTTTCCCCTTCCCACTCTTCCTCCTGTTCTGCCTGTGAGGAAGGTGCTTGCTTTTGCTTCACCCTTCTGCCATGATTGTGAGTTTCCTGAGGCCTCCCCAACCATGCGTCCTGTACAGCCTGCACAACTGTGAGTAAATTAAACCTCTTTTAGTCATAAATTACCCAGTCTCACTTTCTTTATGGCAAAGTGAGAACAGACTAGTACACTTGCTAAGTGAGTATCTTTAGATTTCTGGTATAGAAAACAATAGAATAATGAGTAAAGAATTTGAGAAATGAAATACAGCTTATTATTAGTTTGAAGAAGCAGAGCAGAATACCGAATAGCAGCATTTAATTTTTAGGTTTTAAATGAGACAATGTATAAATTAAGCTTAAATCATATCCAATATTGGATTTATTGAAGTCTGTAGCCAGAAGAATTGGAAGTTAGACAAGTTTCTTTAAAAAATAAACTCCATAAAACAAGGCTTAAAGCCGGCAGTGTGTTGGTAACTTGCTTGGGCAGTAGTTAGGGTGGGAGGAAACCCTGATTTGTAGCATTTGCTGATTTCTGCAGTGTAAATGTTTCCACCAATGCCACACTTGAAAAATTAATTAACAGTTAATAATTAGCCCTCGAAGCCAGAACTAGCCAGGGTAGCACACCACTCCTTAAACTCTACTACCACAATCAAGCCCAGGAAACACTTTCTGTGTTTTATTGTGCAGGCAATTAACGGCCACCACAGCTGCCCTCTCCACCTCCACCACCGCAACTGCCACATATTGGTGCTTTCAATGGGCCATGCCCTGTGCTACGCATTATGAAGTTGATCTCTTAAAATCCTCACAACTATGCTTTGAGGTAAGTATTATCAATATTATTTCCATCTTACAAATGAGAAAAATGAGGATTTGACTATTCCAAAGTCAAATAGTGAGTAAGTAGCAGAGCCAGGATTAAAAACATATATAAATCTTAATTTAGCCTAAAACTAGGAATGCTTCGAAGCTAGTATCTGTAGCAAATATCTTGCCATCTAGGGAATAAAAAATTACATTTAGGAAGCTTCTATGGGGGGATTTTTGAGAAATATTCAAAGAACAAAATGCTGTCATTTGAAACTCATACTGCTATTACTGTCAAACTTCAACTGGCATTGAAGTGTTACAAGTGCTCTTAATATATCACTTTTAGGTTTTGAAAATATTTGTACACTACAGGCATATTTTATTTTATTGTGTTTTGCTTCATTGCATTTCGCAGATAGTTTGCTTTTTATAAATTGAAGGTTTGTGGCAACCCTATGGGGACCGTTTTTCCAACAGCATGTGCTCACTTCATGTCTCTGTGCCATATTTTGGCGATTCTCGCAATATTTTAGCTTTTTCATTACGATCATATCTGTCGTGGTTATCTGTAATCAGTGATCTTTGATGTTACTATTATAATTGCTTTGAGGCACTATGAATCACACCCGTAAACAACAGTGAACTTAAGCGATAAATATTGTGGGTGTTCTGACTGTTCCATCTATTGGCCATTCCTTCATCTTTCACCTTCTCCTTAGGCATCCCTATTCCCTGAGACCTAGCAATATGGAAATATGGCCAATACTAACTCTCCAATAAATGTTCAAGTGAGAGGCATGGTAGCAAATCTCTCACTTTAACTCAAAAGCTAGAATTGATTAATCTTATTGAGGAAGGCATGCTGAAAGCCAAGATAGGCCAAAAAGCTAGGCCTCATGCACCAAACAGCTTAGTTGTGAAAAGAAAATTCTTGAAGGAAATTAAAAGTGCTACTCCAGTGAACACATGAATGAGAAGAAAATGAACAGCCTTGTTGCTGATATGCAGAAAGTTTGAGTGGCCTGGATAGATCAAACTAGCCACAACATTCCCTCAAGCCAAAGCCTAATCCAGAACAAGGTCCTAACTGTCTTCAGTTCTAAGCTTAGAGAGGGAAGGAAGCTATAGAAGAAAAGTTGGAAGCTAGCAGAGTTTGGCTCATGAGGTTTAAGGAAAGAAGACAGCTCCATAACATAAAAGTGCAAGGTGAAGCAGCAAGTGCTGATGGAGAAGCTGCAACAAATTACCCAGAAGATCTGGCTAAGATCATTGATGACGGTGTCTACACTAAACAATAGACTTTGAATGTAGACAAAAGAGCCTCCTGTTGGAAGATGTCATTAGGACTTTCATAGCTAGAGAGAAGTCAATGCCTGGGTTCAAAGCTTCAAAGGACAGGATGACTCTCGTATTAGGTGCTAATGCAATTGGTTACTTTCAGTTGAAGCCAATGCTTATTTATCATTCCCCAAATCCTAGGACCGTTAAAATTATGCTTCATCTGCATTGCATGTGCTGTATAAATGGAACAACAAAGCCTGGATGACAACACATCTGTTTACAGTATGGTTCACTGAATATTTTAAGTCCACTATTGAGATTTACTGTTCAGAAAACAAGATTCCTTTCAAAATATTACTGCTCATTGACAATACACCTAGTCCCCTGAGACTTCTGAAGGAGATGTAGAAGGAAGATTAATGTTGTTTTCATACCTGATAACACAACATCTATTCTGTGGCCCATGGATCAAGGAGTCAAGTTGACTTTCAAGTGTTATTATTTAAGAAACACGTTCTATAAAGTTATTGCTGCTATAGATAATGAGTCCTCTGATGGATCTGAGCAAAGTAAGTTGAAATCTTCTGGAAATGAGTCACCATTCTACATGTCATTAAGAACATTCATGATTCATGGGAGGAGGTCACAATATCAACATTAACAGGAATTTGAAAGAAGTTGATTCCAACCTTCGTGAATGACTTTGAGAGGTTCAGACTTGAGTGGAAGACATAAATGCAGATGTGGTGGGAATATCAAGAGGCCTAGAATTAGAAGTGAAGCCTGAAGATGGGACTAAACTGCTGATATAACTTTAACAGAGGAGGAGTTGCTTCTTAAGGATGAACAGCTTGTTTTTACAGTTTTTTTTTTACGGTTTTCTTTGTTTATATTTATATTTTCAGCTGTTCTTTTAGATTTAGGGGTACATACACAGGTCTGTTTTCTAGGGAATATTGTGTGATGCTGAGGTCTGAGGTACAAATGATGCCATCATCCAGGTACTGAGCACAGCATCCAATAGTTAGTCCCTCAACCCTTCACCCTACCCTACCTCCCTGCTCCCAGTAGTCCCTAGTTTCCATTGTTGCCATCCCTACGTTCATGAATATCCAGTGTTCAGCTCCCATTTGTAAATGAGAACATGCAGTATGTGCTTTTCTGTTCCCATGTTAATTTACTTAGGATAATGGCCTGCAGCTGCATCCATGTTGCTGCAAAGGACATGATTTCATTCTTTTTTTATGGCTGCGTAGTATTCCATGGTATATATGGACCAAATTTTCTTTATTCAATCTACTGTTGATGGTCACCTAGATTGATTCCATGTCTTTGCTATTGTGAATAGTGCTCTGATGAACATATGAGTGCATGTGTCTTTTGGGTAGAAAGATTTGTTTTCTTTTGGATATATACCCAGTAATGGGATTGCAGGGTTGAATGGTAGTTCTGTTTTAAGTTCTTTGAGAAATCTTCAAACTGCTTTCCACAGTGGCTGAACTAATTTACATTCCCATCAACAATGTATAAGCATTCCTTTTCTCCACAGCCTCACTAGCATCTGTTGTTTTTTGACTTTTTATTAATAGCCATTCTGACTGATGTGAGATGGTATCTCATTGTGGTTTTAATGTGCATTTCTCTGATGATTAGTGATGTTGAACATTTTTTCATATGTCACTGGCTGCTTGCATGTCTTCTTTTGAGAAGTGTCTGTTCATGTCTTTTCCCTGATGTTTAATGGAGTTATTTGTTTTTTACTTGTTCAATTGTTTAAGTTACTTATAGATTCTGGATATTTTACTTTTATTGGATGTGTACTTTATTAATACTTTCTCCCATTCTGTAGGTTATCTGTTTACTCTGTTGATAGTTTCTTTTGCTGGGCAGAAGTGCTTTAATTTAATTAAGTCCTACTTGTCAATTTTTGTTTTTGTTGCAATTGCTTTTGCTAACTTACTCATAAATTATTTCCCAAGGCCAATGTCCAGAATGGTGTTTCCTAGGTTTTCTTCTATGATTCTTATAGTTTGAAGTACTACATTTAAATCTTTAATCCATCTTGAATTAATTTTAGTATATGGTAAAAGGTAGGGGTCCAGTTTCATTCTTCTGCATATGGCTAGCCAAATATTTCAGCTTCATTTATTGAATAGAAGTCTTTTCTCCATTGCCTATTTTTGTTGACTTTGCTAAGATCAGATGGGTGTAGGTGTGCAGCTTTATTTCTGGATCTCTATTCTGTTCCATTGGCTGTGTGTCTGTTTTGGTATCTGTAGCTTTATAGTGTAATTGGAAGTTGGTTAATGTGATACCTCTGGTTTTCTTCTTTTTACTGAGGATTGCTTTGGCTATTCAGGCTCTTTTTTGCTTCCATGTGAATTTTAAAGTAGTCTTTTTTAGTTCTGTGAAAAATTATGTTGGTAGTTTGATAGGAATAGCATTGAACTTATAGGCTGCTTTTGGCAATATGTCCATTTTAACAATATTGAATCTTTCAAGCCATGAGCATGGATGTTTTCCATTTGTATATGTCGTCTTTGAGCAGTGTTTTGTAGTTCTCCTCTTAGAGATCTTTCATCTCCTTAGAGGTATTCTTTGATATTTTCTTTTGTGGCTACTATAAATGGTTTGCTTTGGTTCTCAGCTTGAATGTTATTGGTGTGTAGAATTGCTGCTGATTTTTGTACATTGATTTTGTATCCTGAAACTGTACTGAATTCATTTATCAGTTTCAGGAGCCTTTTGGTGAAATCTTTAGGTGTTGTACATATAGATTTATATAATCAGTGAAGAGAGTTAGTTTGACTTCTTTTCCTATTTGGATGCCTTTTATTTCTTTCTCTTGCCTAATTCCTCTGGCTAGGACTTCCAGTACTATGTTGAATAGGAGTAAGAGTGGGCATCCTTGTCTTGTTCTAGTTCTCAAGGGGAATGCTTCCAGTTTTTGCCTGTTCAATGTGATGTTGGCTGTGGGTTTGTCATAGATGGCTCTTATTATTTTGTGGTATGATTCTTTGATGCCTAGTTTCTTGAGAATTTTTATCGTGAAGCAATGTCGGATTTTATTGAAAGCTTTTTCTGCATCTATTAAGATGCTCATATGATTTTTGCTTTTAATTCTGTTTAAGTGGTGAATCATATTTATTGATTTGCATATGTTGAGTCAATCTTGCATCTCAGGAGTAAAGCCTACATTTGTTTATTTATTTATTTATTTATTTATTTATTTATTTGAGATGGAGTCTTACTTTGTCATCCAGGTTGGAGTGCAGTGGCATGATCTTGGCTCACTGCAACCTCTGCCTCCTGGGCTTAAGTGATCCTTTCTCCTCAGTCTCCTGAATAGCTGGGACTATAGGCATGCACCACCACATCTGGTTGATTTTTTTTTTTTGTAAAGACAGGGTTTCACCATGTTTCCCAGACTGATCTAGACCTCCTGGACTCAAGCAATCTGCTTGCTTCAATTTCCCAAAGTGCTGGAATTACAGACATGAGCTCCCATACCTGGCCTGACACCTACTTTTTGATGTGCTGTTGAATTTGGTTTGCTAATATTTTGTGGAGAATTTTTGTGCTGATGTTCATCAAGATTATTGGATTATAGATTTCTTTTTTAGTTGTCTTTGGCAGGTTTTGGTATCAGGGTGATGCTGACTTTGTAGAATGAGTTAGGAAGGAGTTGCTCCTCCTTCATATTTCAGAATGGTTTCAGTAGAATTGGTGCCA